TTAAGGTGATGGGATGCGTCCCATTTGAACTTGCACATCAAATGAGGGGGTTCTTGTGAACTTCATGTACAATAGTGCTACGTAGGAAAACACATCTCACATCAAAGAAGGAATTATAGTTGTCACACTCTTAGAAAAATCACTTCCACTATGAATAATAGACATTCAATTCCAAGAGATTATAGATGGTATTGTAATGAAAAAGAATGACCTGCTGCTCATGGTGTCTTGGCTGTTGTAACTCACATTGTCCCTTGGCAAAATTTAAGAGAAGAAAGTAATTGCATAAAGCAAATGCGTAAAATGGAATCGAGATAGTTCGCACACAATTGTAGCATGATATTTTGTCATCCATCATATCATCGATATTTTTTTGGTTTGAAAGGATTAGCGCATGCTCATGGCTTCAATGATTGATTTTGCTTTCTCTCAATCTCTTCAAGGCCTCTATATCCTACAAAAAGTATAGTCAAGTAATGTGAAATTATCAATCATCGGTAAGTCATCACACTAAGATCGAGATGTTCATTATCACTACTTATTTCTCCATCTGTAGAGTGACAAAAGATAGAATAAGATTTAGGTAACAATATGAAAAATATGACAAAATAATTTTTAAGGAGATATATATAAAAGAGGGGGGGCGAGACAATATGAGTAAGACAAAATAATTAAACTCACCTTAAATGCTCCAGCTCTGAAGTTACGTTGTTCTTTGCAGATATCACATGGACAAAATATACACATGACAAAACATTGAGCCCAAGAACCAACAACTTGGTCACAATTTAATTCCCAATTATGCCTCAAATCAGTTAGAACTAGCAAAAAAAGGAGAACTACTCGATTAGTGTGCGAGGGTGATGGTGATCACAAGGATTGATAGTGTTAGTAAAAAAACACAACTTTGATAATATATCTAATGAAACTGGCAAAAGAATTAAAATTTTATTTAAAGAAAAAGATATCAAATATCTAGAGTTTGTTTTTGTATATTATATAGATGATCCAATCAACAATGAAGGATGAGTTTTCATTTTTTATACGACACACACTAAAGAATAACAAGGCTGGACTGGATAGGAAAATAATTGGGTAATCATGCCCTCCTCCAAGAAACATATATGCTTGCACAAGTAATAATCGCAAGAGAAGTAAAAGTATTTGGATCGATCTATTTCCATCTAAGCAAAGTAAACATAACAGATGAAGCACTGGAAGGTTAGAAGGTGTTGTGGGATGGTGTTTAATCTGCATGAAGAGTTGTACAAATGTTTTGTGTTGATAATAATCAGAGATTGACCATAACTACATGCATAATCTAAACATCCATTTATGACTGTCTAATCTAATTACTTGCTCACCTTCATCCTTCTACTCTTTCTTCTAATTCAATGGATGCTCTGCCCGAAATTTCCAAGCTTCATCTTCTTTTGGTGGAGAGAGAAAGAGAGAGAGTTTTGGTTGTAGCACAAGAAATTTAAGCACAACCTCCTCCATAAATAGGCCAAATTTTGTGTCATGACACAACTGCAGAACTCTTAAGATTCTCAGTAATACGATGTCTTGTCCGCTTAAATAATACTCCTACTAAACACGGAGAATCGCACTTTGCGTCCTATAAATTAAAATTTTTTACTTTAAACCTCAAAAGATTAAATTTTTTACATCACACCGCTCAATGCATTAAAAGTTTTGTAATGTGGCCCTTCTGTTTGATTCTGTTATTTTTTTCGTCAGAATTAATGGGGAAATTTTTGACAAAAAAAATAATAAAAGTTAATAGAAGGGTTAAGTTGCAAAATTTTTAATACATTAAGGGTGCAATATAAATAATTTTATTTTTGAGACTATAAAATAAATTTCTTAAATTTTTTGAGATGCAAAGTATAATTCAACCTAGAAATAACAAGTAGTTGAAATTGTCGGTGCTAATGATATTATTAAATATTAAGGGCTCGTTTGGTAACGTTTACGGTTTTTAATTTTCTAAAAATCGAAAAACATAATCAAAAAACGAAAAACGTCTTTTTTTTGTTTTTGAAAATCGCCACTCGTTTACAAAATGATGAGAGAAAAAAAAACGGTTATCAAAAAAGTTTTTTTTTCTTGTTTTCTCTAAATATCAAAATAAAAATGAAAAACGAAAAATATAAACGTTACCAAACGAAACCTAATTTAATAGTTTTTTTTTTAATTTCGACTTGATGCAATTGGCTAGCATTCTTATCGGCAGCGTGATTCATGGCACACCATCAACATATAATATTTGCATTAAACAAGTTAAGCATCTAGGCAACGGTGAAAAATTTATATAATTTATGGGTCGTACAAAATATCATATAATTGAAAATTTTTTGTACTATGTATGAGACTAGGGATAATTCATGCCTAAAAGCGTGAATAATTCTGAGAGGAATGTTGATAATCGTTAGATAAATCTATTTGAGATTGTCATACGAATTTATTGAAGCGTGCCTTTTTATATATTATAGGTTTATATTATTTTGTCATTCTAATTAGATTAATNAATTTATATAATTTATGGGTCGTACAAAATATCATATAATTGAAAATTTTTTGTACTATGTATGAGACTAGGGATAATTCATGCCTAAAAGCATGATGAAATATGAATAATTCTGAGAGGAATGTTGATAATCATGTCAAGTGAAAACGGTGTCTATCAAATCGTTGCGAGTTAATGTTAAAAAGGATTTCACCCACTATTTATCTATGTATATGACCTTTTGTTGGAGGAGTTTTGCTAGTTTGAATAAATTTCAACCAAAGTTGATGGTATAAATGATATGGCTATCTCACACTTAAACAAATAAAGGAATTTAAGAATATTTAATTAGTTTATGAGACCGGTCTAATATTTACCTTATAGCAAATAAAGAATAATGGTATCTAGATTTAATTTATTATATTAAAGGAGACTCAAATCAAGAGAGATTTAAATCTTTACCCAAATTTTTAATTGTGAAATTTCACCCCCTTTTAAAGATTCACTAGTCATTTTTATTTTCATTTAAATTTGAGTTTACCCACATTTAGATTTGAATTTCTCCTTTTTTAAATTTAAATTTGTCCATCGGACCCTTTTGTATCAAATCAAGCTTTTTACTTAAATTTTAATTTAAATTTGAATAAAAATTTGAGTCATGATTAGAGATACTCTAAAGAAAAACACTAATTATAACAATTCGGTTATTTGATCGATTTTCATATCCTTTTACTTTGAATTTAATTGATAGAATATATAATGTGTATTATCATTACATATTAAAATAGCAAAGTTAACTCCGGCAGTGTTGTATTCAACACTGCTTGCTTGTCCCAAGTCAAGATAAAAAATGAGGGTTGTGTCAAGTAGCCGATAGTTAACGTAAAAATTTGTCGAATCCACTACACTATGATTAAAATAGCAAAGTTATGGACAAAAAAATCTAAGAATTAAACATAGTATGCTATTAAAACTCAATAGAAAAACATCAAACATAACATTTAATAGGTCACAAAAAAATAGAGATGGTCATTCACACGAAAATAAAAAACACTTGCAAGGGATTTAATTTTTAAAAANTTATGGACAAAAAAATCTAAGAATTAAACATAGTATGCTATTAAAACTCAATAGAAAAACATCAAACATAACATTTAATAGGTCACAAAAAAATAGAGATGGTCATTCACACGAAAATAAAAAACACTTGCAAGGGATTTAATTTTTAAATTAAGAAACTAGAAAATCCTAAGACAATAAAAATGATCAAACATAAAAATAAACTAATCGCAACTTGTAGTATCAAAAAATATTATAGAAGTATGAGAGCGATATGGTGGGCACAATACATTATATGCTAGTAATATATAAAATATATACATTTATGCACATATAAAATTAAAAATTTTAAGGGTGGGCCAGGCCCCCTGGCCCCTTAGTAGCTTCGCCCTTGGTTTGAGCAATAGTAGTCGCGACTTAAATTGTGTAGTTGTCGAGAATGTGGGCAAAAATATGGTTTTGTGGTAATTGTCGATGACATAATTTTATTGACAAATCCCAAAATAATATTATGAGGTGAAAATCTGCATAGAATAATCCATCATGCAACTTTTATTGCTTCTTAATTTCATCGGAAAATGTATTTTGGATAATCATTGTGCAAAAATAGAACAAAATTAAAAATAAAAATTCGCACCTTTTTTTTTTTTCTATGTTTGTTTTTGTTTTATCTTTTTGGACTGGACCTTCCTTGGGCTATACCTAATGGGCCTGTTTTGGTAGATGGGTAAGCAGAGTTTGATATGATGGGTTTCAGGAAAAATAGAGCAATAAAACTCATATTTGGATAAAATTTTGAAGTCCTAGACTGCAGTCCTAGCCTGTTTGTATCTGGCTTGGATGCCTAAACCCACAAACATTGGCTTCAGTTTAAACCCAACCCATGAACATTGACCTTGGACTGCAGTCCCGGCCAGTACCTGGACTATCACAAGCTTGATGCTTTGGCTCGAGCGGAAAAAATTGAACTACGAAAAAGATGTTTTCAAAAAAAAATGCAAAAATCACCCGNGGCCAGTACCTGGCTCGACTATCACAAGCTTGATGCTTTGACTCGAGCGGAAAAAATTGAACTAAGAAAAAGATGTTTTCAAAAAAAAATGCAAAAATCACCCAACTTTTGTTTGTTTGGACAAAAATTCACAATTTGCAGATATCTGTCTCTTTCTCTTTCATTGTGTATCACCCAACACCCACAACCACCACCAACCCAACAACCACCAACCCACGCTGGGAACCACCAACACCCATCACCTCTCTGTTTATCTCTCTTTCACCACCCAAAAACCCACAACCACCAAATAAAAATCACCACCGAACCACCCAAAACCGCACAATACCACCCAAAAAACAACCACCGAACCCAGAGCCACCCAAAACACAAAGTGAGCAAAGAAGAAGTTGCGAAGGAGAGAGAAAGAGGCAGTGGAGGCTACTCAGATCTGTGTTCTGGCAGCTGTTGGAGCTCCATTGGACGACTGGTTCCTTTGTTGGTGGAACCACGTGCTGATTCGACGGATTGAGGATAGGGCTTCGCTGGATTTGGGGATGGGGGCTTCACTGGGTTTGGGGTTTTTAGAGCAATGGAGGTGGGTTCACTCACTGGTGGTGGTACTCCGGTAGCTTCGGTGGCGATGGCGATTAGGGTTAGGGATTTGGGAGTTGGGCGTATGGGAGGGAAGTCACAGACTCACAATAGACGCATAAGAAGGAAAAAGAATTTTTTTGTCCTCAATGAAATTCGAAAGGGAAACCAAATTAATTTTGAAATAAACTGTTTCCCTTATTTTTATTTTGTCTTAGAAAATAATGAGAACGTCATTTTATTATTCTCTAAAATTACATCTCATTTTCTAAAATTTGAAGAATAAAAAAAATTAAACAAAAAACATCTCTTTGTTTTTAGAGTTTTGAGTACGAAAAATAATTTTTGAAAACCAAATCAATCACTCCCTATGTTCTTCTTTTGCATTTTCATAAAAAGAATAAAATAAAAATAGCCGTGAAATCTCATTTCGATTACGACAATTGTCTTGTTTACGTACATACGGCTCAACACATCCCACATAACGTAGTCTCATTAGTTTGGAACGTGAACATCAGTGGATGATTTAAATGTCGAACTACAAATCTAATTGATTTCGTTCATTTATTATGGAAACCTGTTAAGAATAAGCCTACAGAGAAGGAAAAATGAAAATCTTTAGACGATTGATGAGACACGAGCTTTGGTCATGCTTGAAGGTGAGCAACTCCATTTGGATACTTTGACTTGGTTTGCGGATGGCAGTACAATGAGATTATATACAGTTAGATTACTTTTTAATTGGCTTAGCTAGGGTCAGAATTTCATAACCAAACGGGGACAGAGCCAGTATTTCTTTAGAGTAGAGACTACTACCAAATTAGAGAAAATGATCGCACGATAATCGTCAAAATTCATGGCCCCTTTCAAACAAATAGTGACTCAGCCTTTAACTGTTGGATTTGGATCAAATTTCGAGTGATCAAAGTTCGATTTAGAAATCTAGATCTAAATTGAATTTCAAAACTTTTTTTGAATTTGATCCGATAATCTAACGATTTTTTTTATAGTCCATAACTATATAAATTAAATATTAAAAATCGGATCATATATGTGAGTCAATTCAAATTGGATTTTATTACATTAATTTCATTGTATATCCACATATATAAATTGGATTCAATCAGAATCAAATTGAATCTTAGTATATCTAAATTTGAATTCGTAAAATATTATATATATTCAATTCGGACTCAAATAGTCCCTCGAAAATATTAATTCGTTCTGACCAATCAAAATTTAAAATCGAATCAAATTCAAGTTAAAATTTCATCCATTGACAAGGCATGTATGAAAGAATCTTTATTGATTATGTTAGACATTATAAAGGCTAATCACATAATTTTTTATTGATTATGTTAGACATTACGGTACACCCTTGCGAAAAAAATGGGCAAATCATTAAATAAACAAAAAAAAATTCTATTATTTTTATAAAAAAAATTATACTGTTGTTGAGAATTTGATTAGGAAACTCCATCCCAGATTATGCAAAAAATTTTTTTTTTTTTTTTTGTTTCCCAATTCGACAAAATTCTGATACACAACCAAAAAGTTGGGGATGTACCCCCCTATTCTCTCTCTTTCTTTCGGTCTTTTAAGACTCTTATGCTGTCTTTAGAGTTTCTCCTTATATCTTTCCTTTGCGCGCCTAACAAAATGGGTATGGGATAGTGAGTAGTGCCGCTTGCTTTGAGTCACCCTCTCTTAATTGATTGTGAAATTCCTCTCTTAAAAAACGATACATCTTAATTTCAACTCAATTCTTATCATAATAATCACCCAATTTTAGTATATATTTATTTATAGATATAATTAGTTCGGATCATATTACAATCGGTTAGATACTAGTATACCTTAATTCAAATTTGTATAGTAAGATTTATGTGTTTTGGATTCAGATACTTGAAAAAATTATTAATTCATAACCGATTGTTGTTTGATTACTATTCAAAAAAGTGATATATATACATTGTTTATGAAAACAGCACACTTATGGATGTTCATATTTATACTACCCTGCATATGATTAGGCTTCGACAAAAAGAGCAAATCTAAATACAAAAAAACCAAAAAAAACTTTAAAAAATATTTCAAAAAGGAAAGAAAACCCAAAAAAATCTTTGAAATGCACAACCAAAGTACCAAATTAGACTTCTAAAGAGAGATTCTTGGTCAAATGGAAATCTAAATCATTTTTGTATTATAATGTAGAACGCCACAACGCATATTTTGGACTCGTGACTATAATTCAACATCAACTGTGCATAATTATCCACAAACTATTCACATTGAATACATCTTGCACACTTTATAACAAGGAAAATGCTAATCATATTCTTCCATCATTTTCCCCACCCTTTGGAATTCTTAACATGTAACTTATCAAGACATCTTTGGCAAACAGCGTAGTAACAAACTTGGCATTCGAATGAGGGACAATCCTTAAAAGCACTACCACATCTGCAACAAGTGGACATCCTCTTTGCCGTCTGCACAAACATGAGAGAGTGTGGGTGCTCATCAACTTCAACGATTCCCCCAAATTTGGTGTTTGAATAACCATTAAAAACACATCTAGGATGAAATGATTGATCACACTCGCCACAATGGTAGAGCCAACATTGAGGATTTATTTCTTCCTCGCAATATTCACAGTAGAATTCGTCTGGATGGTCATTGATAGTTTTGTAGAATAGGTTGAGTGGATGTTTGTCCCATCTATGCCTGATAGTATGCGGGAGGAGAGCACACTTGTAGGATAGATTGAATTTGCAAGAATCACAACGAAATCTCATCCCCCGGGAAGGATAATGACATGCATGGCACTTATGTGTTACACATTCAGTTTCAACCAATGGGTGCTCGTCAGCTTCATGTGTAATCGTTAATGGTAGAAAAGCACATTTGACATCTAGGTAGAATTTACAAGTCCCACATTTGTAGTAGAATCCGTTGCTATATGACTTGCATGCTTTGCATTTGAAGAGTTTATAGAATTCGGAGTATTGCGAACACTGAACCAGGTGTTTAGGGTGCCATGGGAGTCGCAATGTTTTTGGCAAGTTTGCACAACTTATGTGAAGAAAGTAATTGCATATTTCGCAAATGTAATATGGAGGCGAGATTGGTTGCACGCAACCATTGCAAATTTTTTGGTCACCCTTCATCTCATTGTTATGGTGCTTATCGACAAGGATTAGTTGATGGTCATGAGTCCAATGATCGATCGTTGTTTCACCCTTAGTCTCTTCTTGATTACTATGCTCAACAAAATATTTAACTAGATCTAAGGAATCACCGGCCAGCGGTAAGCGTATCAAATTAATGTCTAGATCATCCTTACCATTTTCCTTCATTTCTGCTCCATTCTTACGTCCACCACCTCTGAAATCACAAATTTAGAATACAATTTCAGTTAACAATACCAAGAGCATTGCAAGAATTTCGTTAAGAGGAGAGAGAGAAAGAGAGGGCGTCGGCCCATGATATCCTGGGGCTAAAGCGACAACTAAAAGAAAGGCCTATTATTTTTAAAAATAATATTTTATTTAAAATTTATCCCTTTCGCTTTTTGAGATGCAAAAATTAATAATGAAGTTTTTATATTCAAATTTCACTGTCTTATTTTTTTTGATTGATAATATTGCTAATGCACTTAATTTTTCTTGTGAAATAGTTGATCTTATATAAGATTTTATCAACTTTAATTTTGAAAAAAAAAATTCTAAGAAAGCAATAATTATAAGAATTGTCAATAATATTCTGTAAAGCAATGAATACATTCGGAAAAGAATCTAATCATTTTTTATAAACTTAATATTTCAATTGTGCATATTTTCGTTATTATCCTTTTGTTGAATTATATTATCATTTTCTAATTTATTGGAAGTAATTATTTTTTTGGGCATAAGTTTTTATAAAATTAAAATTTTTATTTGGGCCGGTAGTTATAATTATTAATAATGGGAATTAACTAAAAAAATGAGACCGAAAACCCAGACTTAGATGACCTTACACTAGGGCCGACCCTGGGGAGAGAGAGAGAGAGAGAGAGAGAGAANAGACCGAAAACCCAGACTTAGATGACCTTACACTAGGGCCGACCCCGGAGAGAGAGAGAGAGAAGACGTATATAAAAAGGATTAAACTTACCTCAATGTTGAAATTGCGCACTCGAAATGGACAAAATACTTGCATTGGGCTTCGCAACGATAAGCCCAAGAACCATCGATAATTTCCTTACGACACCTATTGCAACGGTCCTTATAGTCGCTGAACTTCGATGATACATACTTGTAGTTCAGGTTGAGACGGTGATGATGGTAATAATCAAGCTCAATTGTGGTAGGTGACAAAGCGCAACTCTTATGAATCCAAAATTGACAGGTGTAACATAGATACGATGAGCCTTTACCGCTTAGTTTGCAAGCATTGCAATTGAAATTGGCTGACCTGCGTAGAAGAGTTAATTGGTGCCCGTGACACGGAAGTGTAATCATGGGCTCCTCCAAGAAACATAACACGCAGATGTTGAAATGACAATGGGAACAATAGTAAGTGAATTGAGCCTGTGTTCCTCTACAAACATCACACATGTAAGTTGAATGGTTCTTACTAGTCGAACGTTTCAATAAGTTGAGACTGTGTCCGGGGTGTCTAGGGTCTTTATTCTCCGCGGGTAGTTCTGCACATCTTCTATGCAGGAAATAATTTTCACACTCCTTGCAACTGTATGTAGTGTCTAAGATTGGTTCCCTACATCCGTAGCAGATAACTTTCTTACCTTCTTCATTATGCACTTCCTTGAGGATCAGTGGATGCTCATGGATGGGATTTTTGAGCTCCATCTAAGTGTAAGTGTGTGTGTGTGTGTGAGAGAGAGAGAGACAGAGAGAGAGAGAGAGAGGGTACTGAAAACTGCAACAAGAAGAGATAGAGGGTATTGAAAATTGCAACAAGAAGGTATTAAAGTCTGAAGCAAATGGCTAGGACTGTGACAACCACCAAGACTCCTCGGACTCTACCTAAAAAGGATTCAAAAACTACACTTTGACCCCTCAACTTTGTGTCTTACCTCACATTGTCCCTTCAACTGAATTCT